AAGGGGCGTGGCTTGGCACCGGGCAGGGGTCGTGATTGTGGTGGGGCGGGGCTTAGCGGGGACCCCCCCTTTAGGGGTGTGGCCTAGATCTAGGGGCGGGGTTACATGATGTCCCGGGGTGAGGCTCTGCGGGGGCGTGGCCTAGTGGCATGGGGCGTGACCAGAGCCCCCAGGGGCGTGACCCAGTGGTGAGATACCACCCCCCCCACCCCAAGGCCATGCCCTTCAGGTGGGGCTCAGGGGCGTGACCAAAGGCCGTGGGCGTGGTCTCCACCCTGTGGGCGTGGTCCGGGCCTGCCCTGCCCCCTCTAGGTGTTTGGGTGTGGCCTGCAGGCCCACGTGACCCTCCTCCGTAGGCGACCATGGCGGCGGCAGCGGCCGGCTCCCCTCCCAGCGAAGGGACCCCCCAGCCCCCAGGTGAGGCCGCGGGCACCTGCATCCTGGAGTGTCCCCCATCCCCCCCGCCCAGTGTGCGTGTGTCCCCCCGTTGTCACCCCGTCACTGTCACAGATGCGGCGGAGGCCGACCCGACGGAGCCGGCGGCAGCCGTGTCGTCCCCAGATTACCGTCGTGACGAGGAAGAAGAGGTATCACCGGCAGCGGTACCGGCGGCCATGACGTCCTCGGGGTGTCAGCATGCCGGGGAAGAGGAGGAGGTGACGGCAGCGGTGACGACGGTGGCGGCCATGACATCCCCGGGATGCCGGCGTGGCGGGGAAGAGGACGTGACGGCAGCGGGGTGGCGTTGCCGGCGGAAGCACGTCTTCGTGTTGAGCGAGGCGGGGAAACCCATCTACTCCCGGCACGGTAACGAAGAAGCATTGGCGGCCACCATGGGCGTCATGATGGCACTCGTCTCCTTCATCCAGAGCGGCGGCAACGCCATTCGCGCCATCTGTTCCGGTAAGGGAGGGGTTAACAGCAAAGAGGTGGGGTGGGGCACCCCCAAACCGCCACACCCCCACCCACTGCTGTGGCGTGTGTGTCCCCACAACTGCAGAGGACCGGACTTTGGTGTTCGAGCAGCGCGGACCCTTGTTGCTGGTGTCGGTGTCCCGCACGCGGCAATCAGCGGCGCAGCTACGGCGGGAACTGGCCTTCGTCCATGAGCAAATCCTCAGCCTCCTCACCCGCGGCGGTATCGCCCGCGTATTTGCCCGCCGCCGCGGTTACGATCTCCGGCGTCTCCTTGCTGGCGCTGAAGCTGTCCTCGATCGTCTCCTATCTGGCGCAGCAGCAGACGGGCGGTTGTTGTTGGGAGCGGCTCGTTGCTTGCCCCTTCCGGCAGCCCTTCGGCGGGCGGTTTCGGGAGCTCTTCGCCGCGCCGCCGCCACTGCTGTCCCCGCCCCCGCTTTGGCTTTGTTGGCGGCCGGCGGGCGGTTGGTGACGGCAGCGCGGCAGCGGGCTTTGGCGGAAGGCGGCCGGTTGTGTGCCAGCGACCTTCACCTCCTCCTCAATCTTTTGGGGAGCGGTGTGGGGGCGGGCGAAGTGTGGACCCCCGTCTGTTTACCCCGCTTCAACCCCGACGGCTATTTCTACGCCTACGCGGCGGCGCTGGGCGAGGAAGAGGAGGAGGAAGGCGGCGGTGGCACTGGCAGGGTGACGCTCATCCTGCTGTCGACGGAGCGCGAGGGGTTCTATGCAGCGGCGGGGTGCCGGCGGCGTTTGGAGGAGACGCTGCGGGCACAGGGGTGGCTGGGGGAGCTGGGGGCGGCAGTACGGGGAGGGGCGGGGTATGGCCCCGCCCGCCCTGGCGCCCCCGAGCTCCGCCATTTTCTTTACAAGCCCTTGGAGGGGCCGGAGGAGATGCAGCAGCTGCCGCAGTTTACGAGGTGCGGGGCAGGGGGCACCCCAAAATAGGGCGGAGTGGGGGCGTGTCACCTGTCATGCACCTGACACCTGTGTCCCCCACCCCGGGTTCAGCCCTGAGCTGGAGGACCCCTACACCAGCGAGGAGGAGCAACACCGGCTCTTCGACCTGTACCACTACCTGCACAGCCGCGTGCACAGCCCACACCGGCCCCTGCGCCTCCTCTACCACGTGGCTGAGAAGGAGACACTCTTGGCTTGGGTAAGTTGGTGCGGGGGGGAGCCATCAGTAGGTTCCAGAGTTAACAGAGGGTGTTCACTCACGGCTCTGTCATTAGGTTCCAGAGTTAACAGGAGTTGCTGGCTATAGGTGTTGTCAGTGGGTTCCAGAGTTAACAGGGGTGGTTGCTGGTGGCACCATCAGTAGGTTCCAGAGTTAACAGGAGTACTGAGTTGTGGTGCCATCAGTAAGTTGCAGACTTAACAGGGCTGCTTACTGGCAGCACCGTCGGTTAACAGTAGTACTCACTGGCAGTGCCATCAGTAGGTCCCAGAGTTAATAGAGAGTACTCACTCCTGGCTCTGTCGCTAAGTTCCAGATTTAATGGGGGTTGCTGGCTGGCAGTGCCATCAGTTGACAGTGGTACTTGCTGGCAGTGCCATTAGTAGGTTCCAGGGTTAACTGGGGCGCTTACGGGCAGTGCCGTCAGTAGGTCCTAGAGTTAACAGGGGCACTTGCTCCTGGTGCCATCACAGGTGCTCTGTGGCAGCACCATCAATTATTGGAGTTGCTTGCTGACAGCACCATCAGTGGGTCCCAGAGTTGACAGAGGTACTCGCTTGCGGTGCTGTCAGTAGGTTTCAGAGTTAACGGGGGAGATCATTGGGAGCATCATGACTTAATTGGGGTGCTTGCTGGTTAAGCCACCAGTAGTTAACAAGGGATGCTCACTGGTGGCGCCGTCAATAGCGTCCAGAGTTAACGGAGGCACCGGTTCCCTCCCCGGGCGCAGGTGACGAGCAAATTCGAGCTGTACGGCTGCTTCAGCCCACTGGTGACGAAGGCGGGAGCCATCGGGGTCCTCACCAAGCTGCTGCGCTGGCTGAAGAAGGAGGAGGACTGGCTCTTCATCCGCTACCCGCCGCCATACTGTGCTACCCCCGCCCGCTCCGAGGGGGCCGAGGCCGAGGGCTGAGCCCCTCCTTGGCCCCAGGGTGGGGAATAAAATGCCGCTGGAGAAAAGTGTCCCCTGTGTTGGGGCGGGGAGGGGGAGATGGGGCTGACACTGGGGTCCAGGGAGCTGGGGGGGACTCACCAGAGGAGGGGTGGGGCTGCTGTGGCAGGTGACATCATGCGGCAGTGATGTCATGAGGGGTGAGGTCACAGGGGGGTGGTGGTGCAGTGGGTCGAGGGATGAGGGAGGAAGAGGGGACAGAAGGGAGAAGAGGTGACAGAAAATGGAGGGAAGGGGACAGAAACGAGGGGGAAGAGGGGACAGAAAATGCGGTGGAAAAGGGACAGAAACAGGGACAAGAGGACAGAAGACGGAGGAATGATGTGACAGAAATTGGAGGGAAACGTAGCAGAAAAGAGGGTGAACAGGAGACAGAAAAGGCAGGAAGTGGGGACAGAAATTGGAGGGAAGAGGTGGCAGAAAATGGAGGGAAGAGGGGACAGAAACGAGGGGAAAGAGGTGACAGAAAATGGAGGGAAACGTGGCAGAAAAGAGGGTGAACAGGAGACAGAAAAGGCAGGAAGTGGGGACAGAAATTGGAGGCGAAAGGGGACAAATTGGAGGGAAGAGCTGACAGAAAATGGAGGGAAGAGGTGACAGAAACAAGGGGGGAGAGGGGACAGAAACAAGGGGGGAGAGGGGACAGAAAATGGAGGGAAGACGGGACAAGAAATGGACGGAAAAGGGGGGGAAGAGGGGAGACAAAATGGCGGGAAGAGGGGACAGAAAATTGAGGAAACGTGACAGAAAAGGGACAGAAGAGGTGGCAGTAAATGGTGGGAAGAGGCGATAGAACAAGGGGGAAGAAGGGACAGAAAATGGCGGGAAGCAGGGACAGAGAATGGTGGGAAGAGGGGACAAGAAATGGAGGAAGAGGGGACAGAAGCGGGTGACAAGGGGACATGAGAGGGGACAGCAAATGACCGCTGGCCACCATTGTCACCTGTGTCCCCTCAGGCTGCGGCGATGGACGGTGACCCACATGGTGAGGGGCTCTGGCGGCCATGTCCCCTGGGACGCGGATGCAGGTTTCTCCCCCGAGGAACACGAATGTCACTGTCTGTCATGTCGTCCCCCCACCAAGGTGTCCCTTGTCCCCCCGCGGGGGGTCCACGGCTGGAGGCACTGCTGGTGCGGATCCGCAGCCTGCACCGAGGTGAGCGCTGGGGGGGGACACAACGATGACCCCTTCCCCTGTTCCCATCCTGTCCTCCATGTCCCCTCTCCCTCTATTCCATCCCCGCGGCATCCGCGTCCCCGACACCCCCTCGCAGCGCGTCAGGTCCTGGCGCGGGAGATGGCGGAGGCGCAAGGACAGAGCGAGGGGTTGCGACGGCACCTGGAACAACGTGAGTCGTTCTAGGGAGGGGACCGAGGTGCTGGGGGGGGGGACAGGGACGGGACCCAGATGTCCAGGGAGGGGACTGGGGACACACACCGAGGCGTCCGGGTGCTGATCCCCCTCCCCGCAGTGGAAGAGCGTCAGGCAGCGCTGGAAGGGCTCTGGCAGCAGAAGCAAGGTGAGGCCGCAGTCGTGCCAACTTCCCAGCATGCACTGGGGCCGGATGCTTGGGTCTCTTTTTTTTGGGGGGGGGGGTGAGGACCCTCCTCTGGATGTCTGCATCCCCTCCCCCGGCAGAGGCGCTGCGGGTGGCGCGGTTGCGCAGGGAGGAGGTGGAGGCCGAAGGTCAAAGGTGAGTAGGAGGGGCCCAGGATGCCTGGGTCCCCCTCTGACACCCTCCCCCCCCATT